TTCAAGGAAACACAATTTAGCTATTTGCTTTAGGAGTTGAAAGTACATTGAAATTATGTATGATCTGCAGGAAAACCAACAGGTACCCAAACAACACTGAATCAACGAACAGATTGCTTCAGGAATTGCTTAAAAATTCAGAGGGGTAATTAGAGCAAATAATCTGGTTTTCTGTATATTACAGATCCTTAAATTTCTTAATGCTTGTTTGCATTGCAGTTCCTCTGGAAAATGCGGAAAAGTGGAAAATTGTCTGCTCCAATGGTTCACTGGTTTCAGCATCCCCAGATTTGTGCCTGATTTGTGACATGGTTTGCACTTGGGCCCACAGATTCTTGTACTACTTTTTTTCTCCTCCTGAGATTAAAGAACTCTTAATGTTCAATAGTGCCTTCCAGTGAAGGTCCATATATGCTAAGCAAATCAGCTATCATTACACCAATTCCTTCTCTGAGCCCAACCCTAAATACTCCAATTTGACCAGTCACTAAGAAAAGTAAGCTAGAAATGCTGCCTGATTTTTTCCTGGATAAATTATTTATTTTCAAAGTAAATGTGTTTGTTTTTTAACACAATAACACAGGCAGATTTACTTGGAGATAACCAAAAGGCAAGCTTCTCCCAAACTTGGAAGCGCAAGAGTGCAAAACAGGCTGCACATGACCTCAAACCACTGCCTGCTAAACAGAGAAAACCTGTCACTGATGGAATCAGCATTTACCTTCAGTTTCAGCTTTCTGGTTCATCTGAACTATTTAGTGGAAAAGACTGAAACTGGATAGTAACTGAAAATTGTTTTCAGGATTTCTGAGTAGGAATGAAATTACCACATGAGGTCTTTGTGCATCAATACAAGGGAGTAATTAAAACAGGTGATTTAAGCTTTCTAGATGTTTACTAAAGCTGCTGCCACCAATAAGGAGCCAAATACATTAAAAATGGTTCCAGATAATGTGTTACTTCTTGGTACCACAAACTTAGGAAAGTGATGTCTGTTTGCTATTGTATTTATGTTAGACTATGCTAAACACAAAACTTTTCCTTGACACCTATTTTCCAGGTGCAACTATTTATTCCATGGATTTACAGTTACATTTTTTAATTTAGAAATTACTACCTTGCCTTAGTATGAAGACAAAAATATTTGTTGGATAAAGCGTTACGTTTAATATTTGAAATACCCACAGAGTGTGGCTGTAGCAATGCATGCTCAGAGTCCAAAATGAGACAATTAGCACTCTGGAGGGGACCGTCAGGCACAAAGGTATAGCAGGTTTAATGTACATATAGTACTGTCAGTACAGATAAGGATAAATCACCCTCCAGTCAGTTTCTAGACTGATCTAACTGACCACAATACCCGTACAGCCTTAACTGGAATGAGACCACCCATTGAACAAAACCAACTGATTCCCACAGAAATGGCTCTTGGTGAGACTAAGGCCAGAACAATGCCATTTTTGTCCAGATGACAACTGATCAGATCACCAAGATGTTATGCTGTTCTTTATCTGCGAGAAACACTGGTTTTGGCACCTATTTTTAATGGTAAGTAAGTCCCATTCCGTTGCCCCCCACCCCCCTTTTTTTTTTAAGCTTTTGAACACAACTGGAAGTATGATTTAAATAAAACTAGAATTACAGCAAAGCACAGATGCATACCATGAATGAAGGAATGAGACACTAAAACTTTACAAACTATTTGCAAACACAGGCTTCAAAAGAAGTTGTGTGCTAAAAGCATACAAGGTTCTAGCTCTAAATACAAGTAGTCCTACAAGAGTAGTATCAGAAACTGAAAGAGTTTGACTCATAAGAAACATGATTAGTGTCTTGCAAAATATATTAAACAAAATAATTGTAATCTATCTTTTAATCAGTTTTGATGAGCAGTATCTTTTTTCCCAAAGAATGGAAAAGAGAAACTGTATCTTAACATACTCCCCCTCCCCTGCACTTCTCGAGAATGGGGGAATATTTACATAAAATAGAAAGCTAAAGTTACACAACAGAAAATGCTGGAAATTTTTCTCAACAATCTTCATTTTGCCAGACTCCTGCCTTGAAGTGGCCTTTTACTGCTCCTATCCTCAAATTCCTCACTCCACACTTTGGCAGAGTTTCCACCTCCTCAGTCTTTGTCCACAGCTATACCAGCAAGCCTCCAGCTTTTTTGCTACTATTGTGTGCAACATTTCAGTAAACAAAATAAAATTCCTCCAAGCAAAAATATGTTTGTGCCAGCGCAAACGCATCTACACTAACTTTTGTCAGGCAAGAAGTATTTGAAATAATTAAGACATTTAACTGTGTAGACTTCTCCTGCAAATCAGACATGACATTTAATGTCTGGGCAAGCTCTTCAGACCACAGTTATGCATCTAGCTTGTTTACAGGATGAACAGCCTTAAGTTACAGAAATGCCACTGGTCTAAAAATAGCTAGACAACTGGGCAACACCAGGGCAGATGACAGTGATTCTTAACAAGTACTTGATTAAGATCTGAATAGCCCATGAGTATTACTGAACTTGAGCCATTCAAAGAAAAACAAAGACAAAAGAGACCTAGCAATTTTAAGGACAAGTTATGAAAATACTTGCCCCAAAATTACTAGCAAAAACACACTAAGCTATATGCGAAGTTAAAATAAAAAGACAAAGACAAAGACAAATGAAC